CGAGATAGTCAATGACACATTGTTTCCCTGTTATTCGTGAGATAACATTTTCAAGGTCCTCCTTTGTTAGAATTATTTGGTTCTTACTTATAAGATTTGTCAAAAGCTTCTTATCGTCTTTGAGTAAAATTGTTTGGTATAACTGAAGAAGGTAATGGTCTACGTTATCTGAAGGATTTGTTTGAACATTTGTGTAAGGGTTGTCGTTGGCTTCTCTTGAAAGAATTTGGTCCAGTGGTGGATACTCTAACTTAACATCTGATGTAGCGTTAGCGTTTGAAGCTGTGTTTAAATTCACCGACTTAAGTTCTGGTTCTTTTTCTTTCAAACACTCTGAACTATAGTTCTTTATGACAATATTGTTTGTCGTTCGTGAGTCAACATTTGATGTTGGTTCAATTGGAACATTAACGGCACCAGCTAAGATGGATTTGCTTCTCATTTCATATAGAATAAAAACCTTTTATATGTATGAAATGAACAATATACTCGACAAGGGTTTGAATGTAAAGCTAACGAATGAAAATATTGTTGAATTCACTGAGACAGGTGCTGTGTATAAAGATGTAGAACTACTGAACAAAAGAGCTAAGGGAAGAAGCAGGAACATGAACAAAGGGTGGAAGCCTATAAAAATTTATGTCAATGATGGCTCAGGAGGTTCAAACATAAAGTATGCAGAAAGTTATAGAGTTTATGCTCTCAAAGGTGAAAAGCCTTCATTTAAGAACAGCTATTCTAACGCATATCCTCAAAAGCTAACGGATGGGGAAGTGGATGATATGAATGACAGCAAAAATATTAACAGAAATGGCGACAGAGATGCATGGAATTTGTTTACCATCAGTCAATTGAAGGTTAAACTTTAAAACAATGTTGGTCGTTCCCATGGAATATTTTTGACTTTAATGGTATTAGTCATGATATGAATCTCAAGGTATGAACGAGGAGAGATGAGAGACTTATATGCTTCCCAAATTTCTTCAAAAGGTAATGTTATACCTGACTGTTTCCAAATGAGTTCAATATCATAACGTGAGAAACCTTGAAAGATAACGAAGTCAGTTATGAGACGTTTTATGTTTAAAGCTAAAAACCTCCATGTTTGCATAAGTATTGCTACAGTTAAGTGGTAATGTCTGACTTTAGTAATGATGTTAGCTAATGGTGAGTCTGGTTTTGACACTAAACCTTTTCCGGCGAAATCATCACAAACTAATAAAGTGTTTGATGGATATTTTTTGAAGGGGTATTTTGAAAGTTTTGACAGAATGTAGTTTGTAAGTCGTTTCATATCGTAAACTCCTGAGTATTGACGTAAGTGGTGTTTGTCAATAATTCTTTCCATCTCCTCAGAAGTCTTTTGCATTCCTGACTGTATAAATTCAACGATGGCATAATATTTCCTCTTACGTCGAATGTAACGTTGAAGAAATTCAATGAGTTCACTGTCTGGAACTTTAACGACAGAGGCTTGAACTTTTGACATAAATGTTTTCGCTGTTGAGTCCATAGAGTCTGAAGTTGCTGATATAATGATTTGGTCATAGTAAGAGTCGTTTCCTAAACGCTCTGTTATGAGTATATGACGAATTAAATTAAATGTCTTACCTGAACCCATCTTTCCACAATAGAAATAAACACCATTTGAACAGAACTCATAGTCCTTACTGAAAGGAAGAATGAGAGAACTGTTGAAGCTTTTCACTGTTTCATTCATGTCTTCATCTACGTCATGTATTAAATGCTTCATTTTATCTCCATTAAAAATGCAAGTCAGAAATATTCAGAACATAGCACCGAGTCTAACTGACAAGAGTATAAAGATATACTATGAACATGTTATGATGAAACCAACCAAAATTCAAGAAAGTCAGTATACTTATGAATATCCAAGACACTGGGTAGAGTATGTAGGAGGTGAGAAAGCTATTGAAATCAGACAGGTTCGAAGTATTCCAGCAGGAAGAACAATATTATTGAAGAACTTTAATGTTTTGAGGTATAATGATGAAACAAAGAAGCAAGATAGTTTTCCTGTTGCTGTGTATGTGAACTTAGATACAGGAGATGACATGAAAGTTTTTAATACAAAGCTTCAAACGGTAGTGAGAGAACAACTGACTGCGGAAGGACATCCATTACCTTCAGAAGTTACCATAGCATATAATTTTGAAACAAACTCAATAGATTTTAAAGTCATCTCTGCAAAGAAGTCAGGTTTTACATTTAATGAAGCAGATGTATATTCGAATGAAAACTTCAAAGCTATTGCATGGTTAGATAATGACGATTGCTTTAAGAAAATATTTAAATACAGTGACTCAACGATGTCAATAGATGACCTTCGTGGAATGTTACCATCGACGTTTACAGTAGAAGGTTCAGCAGGATTGCTTACAAGATTGTCAATTGGTGGTATTTGGTCTCGTGAGAACATTGTTATAAAATCCAGTATAAGTGAATTTGCTGAAGAATCTATATTATGTCTTTCAAACTACATGTATTCGCCGCCGAAGCATTATAGTATAACAAACTTTGTCAGTAAGTTTAACATAAGACTTGTCGAACCTTCTTCAATGAAAGATGTTGTGCTACCTAAAGACGGAAAGGATGGACTCATTATTGAGATGATTTTAATAGCATATTAAATGAGCTTGTTCTTGAAGGTCATTCATGATGAAATAACTGTTGTAGAAGATGTTAGCAATTGTTCAGACATTTTGAAGCGTATAGATGATATAAGAAATAAGTTAGATAGACCGCAAAGCGGTGAGGGCGAAGCCCGTGAGAACGCTTATGTTTCATTGACTTTCTCCAGTAACGAGAACTTTTATGAGATAATATTGAAGAGAGATGATTTTAATATGGTGTAAATGGTAGCTTGGGCAGCTTTAGGCGCAATGGGAACAAAAGCATTAGCATTTGGAGCAAAAGCACTTGGAGCTTATGACGCAGTAAATAAAATGAGTGGAGGAAGGGTTTCGAAGACATTAGATGCAAATAAAGGGAAGATTGGAGGCTGGGTTGCAAAGAAGTTAAGATTAAATAAAATAGGGCTCATAAATAAAGCATCCAATTTGGTTGCGACTGAGTCAGAAAATGCTTTAGGAAAGGACGATGAGTTTGCAAAACACGCAACAGACTTTAATGACCAGATGAAAGGTGAAACAATGCATTTAAATAGAGTCGATGGAACTAAAGAAAATGTTTCTTCTCCACCAGCAGTTTATCCATACGGACCTTATGGAATGTATGGAAACCCTTACGAAAGACCATTTGACCCATTGACTGGTGGAAGTAATTGGTATCATTATCGACGAAGAAGAAAGACAGTCAAGTTGGAGACAGACGTGAAGAAAGCAACTAAAAAGAAACCAAGGAAGAGAGTTATAAAGCAATGAATTCAACAGGGTGAAAAACCGGGTGAAAAAAGAGGTAAGATTTCACCACTTCACCTAAATTTATTTTTGTGCTATGTTTTCATACGTGTGAGGGTGGTGATATCATTTATTTTTAAATAAATGTGGGAACAAAAATAAAGCATATCTACTCAACAGGAATGAGACCCTTACTGACTATGTATTCGTTTAATGCTTGATGAAAACAATGGTACATATTATCGTATGGGTATACACAACGTCTGTTTCCATCGTCGTCGTATATGTAGAGCTCAAATCCAGTCCAACCTTCTTTTGTACAATATGTAGCTTTATTTAAGTATGCATTTATGTAGATAAGGCAATTTTCTTCATCGCTCCAGAAATAATTTTTCGTCTTTGTTGAAATAGTTTTCGTTCCTCTACGTCCATAAGGAATGTATGCAATAAATTTAGCATCATAAGGTATTATAATATATTCAGGGTTTCTTTCATCGTCAATGGGTCTGTCTTTGTTAAAATGCATGTTTCTCAGTTTTACTTGAGTTTTGAATAGTTCACGGAAACGTTCTGGGAAAGAGTCATAGTAAATGTAGTCAGACATGTCTTTGTAATGAAATAAAAAATTAAAAAAAAATAAAAATAAGGTTATTTTTATTTAGTGAGGACGGTAGTGAATTCGTTAGTGAAGTCGTTTATGTGTCGGATGGTTTTGTAAATATTTAAGGTTAAGTTGGTGTTATGGTTGTGTTGTAAAATATACGTTACCGGTTTCGTAAAGTATCAAAACCGCTAAGTGGTGTACGGAGGCGCGCAGTGCCACAGTACACCACTTAGAGATACTAACTAACGAAACAACCAAAGAATGATACAGGAGCTATCACACAGGAGCTTATTGCCTCACCACAACTGAGCGATATGCCTTCAGAAGAAAAATTATAAATTATTGGTTTGTTTTGGGTTAAGTTTACCAATAGTTCATTCTAAGATTTAGTTATAAAGCTTATCTATTAGTTCTTTTTGATATATATATATTTTTTTGAGTGCGAATGAAATCCAAAATATCTTTACCAAAGCCCCTTTAAAAATTGACAAAATTGTGAGCAATTCAATTTGATTTGGGAGTTAGAACATGTAATATATATTCAATTTCAATCTTATTTTTATAAATTTTGGCCGATTTAAGCTCTTGTCAAGTTTTGATCGGATAAGTGAAAAAATCTACAATTTATATAAATTTATATTTATAATGATAATAGATAAAAATTTATGAAAACTCTTGATAAGAGAAGTGAAGTGAGTTTTTATTATCGTTTCTTCCAATGTTTCAATCTCATATCCTAAGGAATATTGCATTATACTAAGATCATTATCAGATGTGTGTGAGATAAAAGTGTTTAGGCCCCGAGCAACGGTGTTGGAATTTACACCAAAAATTTCTGGAGACGTCTCCAGAAATCCCAAATCTGGTATTTTTACTATATATCGTATGAATATTAAGATCTTAAAAATCTGCCCAACAACGTTAGGAAGATTGAAATGACTTTTGAGATGCGACGTTATTTCGATTTGAGACTTCTCTCACAATATTAGATTTCAATACAGGCTTTAATTTTTCGAATGATTCTCTACGTATGCGTTCCCACAGTTTGTATTAAACAAGTAAGAATCAACCCACACTTACCAATATCATCATTAAACAAGCTATTCCCACATTCCCAGAAGATTTACTTGTACCAAGGTATCACGTTGGTCCCTCACTTAACCTTTGAAAATTACTGCATTTCAGAAGGACAAAACATCATTGCTACAGATGCTTCTTCTAATAACACCGATTGGTCGTATCATAATTATGAGTCGTACTCAGACAAGATCCAGATTGCATTTGATGACAAAATGAAACTTGAATCAGCAAAGATGAGGGATATCCAACTCTCACGTCTTGAAACGAAGCCCACAGCTTTTCGAAAACTTTCTCAATTATCTTTGAGCAAAGAATACCCGGTTTTAGCGCCTGTTAACAATTCTTCGAATACTTATTCGAAGCCAAGTGCTCCTTCTAGCATTCCATTGCCAGCATTTTGGGGTCAATCCTCAAACAATCTTAAGAAGGCCAGAACCTCTGGTCCGCTACTTTCTCCACTAGAAGAGAATGATTTTGATGTTTCTAAGCGTATTTAATTTTGTTTGTTTGTTATTGATCATGTTTGTAAATAATAGAGCTTTATTAATTAGTTATTTTCTAAGACCCCATAATATACGAGAATAATCTAGCGTTTGTTGCAGAAACCTTATCAATTCGTAATTTTTATCGAGTCAGGCTCGTTCATTATTATTTATTCATATTTTAATTCCTTATTATATTCTCATTTAGAATTTCCAATCGTGTCAAGTTTATTATGATTCCTGCGTTAAAAAATGATCAATCGTTGCAAGAATCGATTCCCCAAGGTTTATTAGATCAGAAGTACGAACATATTTTATTTATTCGAAAGGCTACAGTAAATGATAAAGAAGAAATCGTTTTAGCTTCCGAATATTCTTTATATTTTTTTACTTCTAAGACATTTTCAAAGCAACTGCAGGTTAGGTTATCATTTACATGGGATAAAATCAAATCTATCAATTTACCGGACTCGTCTACGATTATTTTAACCTATATTGAAAAAGAATTAAAAATTCTTCATAAGGATGCAGTACAAATGTTTTATTCAATATTGTTGCATTTGAAATCGATCTTCATACCATCTGAAATGCCTCAAGTTGAAATAAATGTTAAACAACCAACAGGAATTACCCCAAACTCTTCACCAATGCTATCAAGATATATTTACCTTGCTCGTAAAAATAATATAGAGATTGCTGCCAATGCTTTAACTGCACTAAAAGAAGGCTCTGTTTTAGTTCGGAAATCGGAAGAGAAACATAAGCAAATAGAACTAGATTTAAGCCTCTTTCCTGGTATCCAGAATCAAATGTATATTTATCTTAAAACAGCTGAAATAGAACCTTCAATTCAAAAAATTATTATTCCAAAAACGGGAAAACCGAAACCATGGACCTCTTTAGTCCCACATTTCCAAAGTAATGACACAGTTGATGGCGTAATATGCAAAGAAATCATTTCTGAAGATTTTATTGAAGTTGTTGAAGCAATTTCCAATAATTCTAAATCCAAAATCAATAGTTTCACTTTCCAAGACACAAGTTTTACTGAAGATTCACTTATTTCCATCATAAATCTAATTAAAATTAAGAATATTGATTCAATTTCAATTTTATCATCGATTGAAGCTCCACAGTTCGAAAAATTAGCTCCACATTTTGCAGATCAATCCATAAAACTCAGTTCTTTGAATAATTATTAAATATCTTCCTAACTTGAAGCATTTAGATATTTCAAACAATAGTATTGATGTATCCAACACTTTATTCGCTCTTGCTGAGAACCAACACCATCATTTGCAAGAATTAATTGCAAATGGAAATTATTGTACAAAAGAACTTACTAAAGAGCTTAGATTACCAAAGTATCTTGAAGTATTACAGTTAAGAAGGGTTACATGGGCAAAATCCAACTTAATAATGATTATCAAATTATTATGTAAAAAGAGAAGATCAAATCATCCATGTTCATTACATTTATCAAGAGCAGAAGTTGAGAATAACAGTTGGAAGTCAATTTTCAAGAAAATGTCAAGAATTGAGTTCAAAAATCTTGTTGAGTTCTATTAGGACGCGAATCCGATAAATGAGAGTCTTTTCAAGATGTTGTCCACTGCGAAATCGCTTGAAACTTTGTCATTTAGCGGTTGTTTCGATGAAAATGATGAAAATTTAAATGATTTCATCCAATTCCTTCCAAACTGCTATAATTTGAAGAAACTTGTTGTCTCCGGATCAGAATCAAAGAAAATGAAGCACTCTATTCAACTTATCTTTGATGTTTTGGAACATTTTGATATAAATATTTTGGATGTTTCAAAAAATGCGATCGGAGATGAATTATTCGTTATGTTATCGCATCTTATTGTTTCCAATCCAAACGTTACTGAATTTTTCATTGACGGAAACAATATTCAGACAATTCCAGCTTATGAGACATTTTTGGACCAAATGATACAAAGGCATACAAAATTAGTAATTGATATGCCAAAACAGGACCTGCTAAAGCTTTCTTCCAAGAACAAAGCCGTTAAAAAAACAAGATTTTCTGGAATTGTTCAGAAATTCTATGAATTAGCGAAATTTCCGATGCCAGTAATGAAGAGTGTACTCAGAAGACCAGAAATAGACCAGAAACTACCAATAGATGGTCCAAAATCTGTGAGATCTCCAATAATTCTTCCAAAAATTTCGACAATTGAAGAAAGTACATTCAATTTCAATAGCCAAAGGCCACTACAAACAAAAGCAGACATTCCTGTCTCAGAAATCCCTGCTCCTCCCGAGAAACCATCAGAAATCGAATATTTACATCACGAAATCCAAAGTGATGACAGTTACGAGTACTTTTACTCGGAAGATGAAGACCCAGAAGACGGAAGATATGATTTTGATCGAATTGGAAAAGCAAATTGGGATGATACAGAAAAAGTCTTTGTAGATGATGAATTTTGGCTTAAAAACCAAGAGCAACCACTTACTCTTAATACCCGTCAAACAATTGACACTTTTAATAAGGACTTCACCATTCAAAATCTCTTTTCTCAAATGAGATGAATTTTTTGTTAATAAATATGTATGTTTATGTAGATAGAAATATAATACTTTATTCAAACACAAAAAACATAAGTTATTCTTCATTATTAAAAACAAATTTCGAAATAATTTCTTGAATTACTTGAGATTTTGATTCTATTCCTAATTCCATAAGGTTTTCGAAATCATCATCCAAGTCATATGATTCGAACAGTCCAGAAACATCGATTCCTGTTGAAGAAAGGAAATGAAAAATTGTATCAATCATAATAAATGATTTTTCGAGCAAATCGTTATTATGAAGGCTTCCTATATCAATTATAAAGGCGAAAAACATCGGATTATTGAATTCTGAGAAAAAAGAATTCGAAATATTTGTAACGACAAAATAAAGGAGATTTGCTATTGATTCTTTAACTTCTATTGTTGAATCATGGAAACAATCTGCTAATAGCATTGAAATTGAAACAACTTTTTGAGGTTCGAAATTTTCCGAATTAATCAGATAAAAATGAATAAATTCAACTGCATTGAGCATCAAATCAGATGAATTCTGGTTCTTTGATATTAGCATCATGCATTTATCGAAAAACATGTCTCTGACCTCATTAATTTGCAATTCTTCTAATTTTATCATAATTTTGGTCACATCTATAGCTAAACTTTCTTCATTGTCTTTTTCATACTCAAACAAAGCTAAAAATCCAATATTGTTTGCGATAATAAATTCTTTCAAATCATTCGTTATTGGAAGCTCAACGTTGTTCAAAATGGAGCTAATTACTGATAGTAGCTTATGCTGTGAGAACCATGATACATCTATTAACTTATTTTGAAGTTCTAAGTCATTATCAGATTTTAATTCTAAAATTTTGAAAATCAACGTGAGAAGTTTGAAACTTTCATCTAGTGACAAATGGTAAGAGTCTGTATATGCTTGGACGAAATAAAATATATGATAACAATCTTCGAAATTATTTTGATTTACAATTTCATTTATATTAGTCCAGATGATGTCAAATGGCAAATACATATTAATACTAAACTTAGAAGCAGGAGAAGTCTCTAATAATCTTGCAATTAAGTTAAAGTTAATGGATTTGCTTTCAAAGAATGGTGTACGTATAATAGTATCGATGTATTCTAAAATATTGCTGTTTAAAAAGGTGGTTCCGAAATTTGCTAAAATTGTCAATCCAAACACAATCAAACTGACTAATGTAACGTAAATTGGTGGATTATTGAGATAAATTAATGATCTTACTGCACTCTTGAATGAATCAATGAGAAAATCAGGAAAATTGAGAGAATTTAAAATTTCAATATAGTTTTTTCGAGAGTATTGAGATGTAAATACTAAAATACTATCCGCCTCGATTTTAAAAAGTTCTTGATTGTTTTCAGCATAGAAAGAATAAAGGGATTGAATATGACTTTTTAATGAATCTTCACGCGTAGTATCCTCCTTTTGAGTCACTTCTTGAATATCTTCATCTTTGAATGAAAAGTTATCTAGAGATGGCTTGTAAAAAGAAGTTATCAAAATGAAAATGCCACTTTTTTAAGGCTCCGGTCCTGCATGATTACTGCATATAGTTAGGACGAGTGTCTAATAAGGAGTAAAAATATACCAATAGATTGCACATATACCAATATTTTGTAAAAATTAAATATTATCTATTTTTAAAATTTTCGAATTTGACTATATTATCGTTTTAAACATGATATATACTAACTTTACTATTTGATATATGATAAATAATGATATTTTAAAAATTGAAAAATTGGATTTTTAAATTTGCAAAGTATATAGTATAGTAAATTCATAAATGAGTATAATGTGCCCAATTATAACAATTTTCAATCATTTGATAATTCTATGACTATGGATTTTTGTACTTCTAATTAAAATAATGTCACTTTTTAATATATTGAGTTTAAGGTTTAAATTTAATTTAAAAAATCGATTTGTTTATACATATTGGAAAGGAATTTTTTGATAATATCTTTTGTATATTAATACATTATGACTTATACTATGTCACCATAATATAAATTCAAATTTTTATCATGCACATCAATATAAAATTGTAATTCAAAAAACACCTACTTCTATCGTCAAAAATACTCTCAATTTGAAAAAATACATCAAAAATATCAAATTTGCAAACCTAATTCTTCGAAATACTGAAGAAGGTAGAATATACAAATAGTGTCGACAGAAACTATATAATTTTCTTTACAAATTGTCGAAGGGGAACTGAGAGTTTTTTCTTATACGTTGAATTATAAATCAAATTATTGAATGGATTTTTGGAAAATTGAATACTCAATTATCGAAAAACCGTTTTGACAAAAAGTGATTAATACAATATTGTTGCCTATATTAAGTAATTATCATATATGATTTTTATTATCATATCAATTAATCGTGCATGAAGTTATTCTCGACGCAAAAATCGTTTTTTATAGGGGTCTTGCAAATCTAATTCTTCTTTCATATATTTTTTAGAAGCAAACTCACTATATCAAAATAAACTTTAGTTGCATTCTAACAATTTGTCGAAGGGGAACTGAGAGTTTTTTCTTTATTATCAAGATATGACAAAAAATGTTAATATACAATTTTTTAATATTCGACATATATAGCGATAATGTAACATTATATGATTTTATTATTTTATGATAGCATATATAAACCTTATCATATTATTAAAACTTTCACAAATCAAAAATATCTAGATTCTGTCAAAAAGTGATTTGTCAGATTTTTTCAAAAAAACAAATTACTCATCTAGAAGAGATTGTAAATCAAGTTTACTAATAACAATATAATGTATCACTAATATGCTATAAAATGTCGTGGGCTTTTTTGATTATAAATAGTTTTACCGGTCAAAGTTGAAATTTGTCAAAATACCGAATTCTCAGATAAGATGAACTATAATAGTAATACTCAGTTTAAATATACTATACTATAGTGTATTACATAATGATATTATGTACTAAAGTAAAAGTATCAAAAACTCATATTGGTGGAGATATTAAAACTTTTAAAATTGAGAGGGTGGGACCGGAGCCTTAATATATCAACTATAATTACTCAAGATATCACTAGCCCTTAGCATAAAATTATAAATTCATGAATAATCTTCCCTTATTCTCCATCAAGTGAAATTTTTCATTATATTTCAAGGGTATTTAACTAACCCACGTGATAAAACGCATTTAAATGAATAATATTTCATAATACGAACATACAAATAAAACATTTTAATAAAATAAACAAAATTATTACATAAACTAACATTGAATGGAATAAATAAAGCATCCATTCGGGTGACTAAAGAAATCAGAGAAATTGGGATCGTCAATTAAGTCAACACGGTTGATCGAGAAGAATAAGGCAAAAGTCATTTTTAATTCCGTATTCAACCGATTAACGATAGTTCCAAGAGTATCATCTCGGTTTATTTCAAGCAACTGAACGTATCTTCCGTCAAATTCGAAACATTCAAAGACATTTTCAGGAATATTTGATGATAAATACAATGGATGTGATACATAGAGCATGTACAACTCTTCAGCAGTCTTATCGGTGCATTGAATCAAAGTATATTTCTTTGATAGGTAATAAATGTTCGTAGACTCTAAATTCCTTAGTCCAAATTTATTGGTGATGATATCAGAACCCGTGAGACCCTTTATCTCTTTGAAATCAAAATGAATCTCTTCTAAATATGTCAAAATCCGATGTTTCTTCAAATATTTGATTCTAAATGGCTCAATTTTAGGACACAAAAGTTCGGAAAAGGCAATTGTGATGCTATTTGATTTGACTAAATGTCTGAAATTTTTAATTGGAATGTTATCAGGAACATTATAGAACAAAGTCTTTCCATACAACGCATCTACTATCAGCAAAGTAATTGATTGTTTTCTTAAGTTTAAATAGGTAAATAACACGTTTTCGGCAAATTTAAGCATATCATTAGTTTTTTGGTTAGGATGGAACTTTCCTTGGAATTTTACAGGTGTCTGGTAAATTGTAAACTCGTATTCGCAAGGTTGAGTGAAAAATACATCACTCATGTAAATCCTTTGCTTGGATTGGCAATATAAATACAATGTTGAGAAGTTATAAAGGAATTCATGAGGTATATCTTCTGAAAGATGCTTGTTGTCGATACTAAATTGAACATCATAATTTTCGCTGTAGGAATTGATGATTTCTATAGCGGATTCTTTAGTTTGCATGAACTTCTGCTCTTCTTTGATGCTCATTGTCGATGAATCGAAGATTTTAATGTAAAGATTATAAGTATTTTGAGAATATGAAGTGATTTCAATAGGAACAACCTGGGATAAATGCATTTCAACTTTATCTCTAAGAGTTATAATATTGTTTCTGTTAGTTACATAAGCAATTACGTAAGCATTTCTGTTTCCATCATTAAACTTACTGAAAGCATCTCCTTCTGTTTGTTCTGTAATCAAATCATCGTTTATTTCAATCCATCCAGCAGCATCATGCACATAAGTGATGTAATGGCCTTTAAAACCAGTTCCAATATGAGTACTCACGGCGTAGAGTTGGTATTTTTCTCCACCAAAGGCTGTAAGGTCTAGCTCGCTAGGGATCATAACGAAACTGCAATTCTTTTGAAAAGAACGTGTATTTTTATCGTAAGTCATTCGATTTAATTGAACTAAGAATAAATCCGTTGATTTTGTATGAAATTTGGATTTTCTTGATTCTAATTGTATGTGTATGAGTTGTTGAAGGTCTAAATCTTCAATAACGGGTAATGTCAGAAATATAAAAGTATCTAAAGGAACTTCTTGAGATATGAATAGGCTGTTTGTAAACAACAACGTAAAATCATTTGGCTCTGGTTGTTTGTAGCATTTACTAATAAAATCGACAAATTTTGCAAAAAATTCAGTAAGATCATGCTGTTCTGTATAATTGATCTTCATAACATCAATAATTGGAGATGGATTTGTTATGTATTGAGTTCGAATTGATTCTGAAAATTCATATAAAACTTTTATTTCGGGAATGGCTTGATTTTTTTCAAGAAAGTCAACGAATGGTTTATACCTGTATAAAATTTGAAGTGAGCTACCCATATAGCATGTGTTTGCAAGATTTTTAATTCCGCCAACATACGCATACGCAATAGTCATTCAATTTGAAATTTTCCAATAATTTAAAAACATCTTAAATATAAAGTGATAATTAATGCAATAATCAGATCATGTCATGATTCAAAAAAAAAAAAAAAAAAAAGGTAGTGGGGCTTCCAGGGGCTGCGCCCCTTCTAGCCCTGAAGATGTTTAGTATAACTTTGTCCGGACAAGTAAGGGTCTATCGTCGCTACAGGAAAAGTTACAGGCGTTCCAAGGAAGTATACTTTGAGAAGCCTTTTCTCCCTTATAGAATGAGATAGGACGGTTATTTTACAAAACTGACAACACTTTGACCGAGTAGTTTTTTGTGCTGAACAAAAGTGTCATATAAACATCTGTCAAAAACCGCTTTTTAACTTCACTTAAAATGCCACGTAAGCTACGTAAGAATATACGTAAGAGGAAGGGAGCATTGAAACATCCAATAGTAAAACTGACACCACAACAACAGTTGCAACAACAAATAATGAATGACCCCACTATGTTGCAACAAATGTCAAGCAATCCTATGCTTTTAAACCGAGTTATTGGTGCACAGAGTGGAGGTTTAAGAGCGGCACTTTTAGCGAAAATGGCAGGCTATGGTGGAGCTGCAGACGGAACAGCTTATAACCCTCAAAGTCAAATGAATTTGAGTTCACTCAAAAATCAAATAACAGATGTCAAAAAGTCAAACATAGACATACAGAAACAAATAAGTGAAAACGAAAAGAAACTAGAATATGACAGACACACAAAGAAACTAAATGAGTTAAACGTAGAGAAAAAGAAGAAAGAAGAACAACTGAAAGAACTAAGTACAGAGGAATATGCGAAAAAAGTGTCAGAAAAAGCAGCAGAAGTAGCAAAAATGGAACAAGATGTCATAAATTTGAAAAACCATACTACTCAATATAAAGTACTGAAAGATGAAGAGATAAAACAAAAAGCCCTGAAGACATATATGGATAGCGATGAGTATAAAAAAGAAGTTGAAGCAAATGTAAAGGCAGAAAAACTTTTACAGTTGCAAAACCAAACCGTACAGTATGAAAACTTAGCACAAGAAAGTAAAAATAACGACGCAGCCATGCAAAAGGCAATGAAAAGCGCAGAATATATAAAAGCTAACAATGACTGGTTAGATGCCCAAGCCAACGCTAAAGCAGCCCAACTTATAGGGTCAATAAGGACAAAAATACAAGCGGATGAAGACAGTTCAAATGAAGCTTTAATGAATGCTGACTTTAAGAACGCCTTCGAAGCTCTTCATAGTAAGGTGAAACAAGTGAACGACTTCTCATCTGGAAAGAAACTGAAGTCTGAAGGTTTCGACAAAGAGTTAAAAGAAGTAGCACAAAATATGACGAAAATAACAGATGCAGCAACGAGACAGGCAGTTCAAAGTGCCTATGACGCCGTTAGAGCAACTGTTGTGGAAAGTCAAGAAAAAGAGTTACAACAGACCAAAACAGACCTAGTAAATGCTTTCTTAAAAACGAAAAGTCAGGTAGGACATTATGCTGCAGATGGAACATATGTGCCAGCTGGTGGAACTTATATACCACCAAACCCTCCAAGAGAAGCACCTGCACCAGGACTACCTAAAACATTTACATCGTCACATGGACACAGACACAGGCATGCACCAAAACCAACACAACAACCAACAGTTCAAAATCCAGCACAACAACCACCTCCACAACCAGCACAACAACAACCAGCACAACAACCACCTCCACAACCAGCACAGCAACCAACAGTTCAAAACCCTGCACAACAACAACCACAAACAGAGCAAGGACATAAAAGAAGTAGAGAACAAGGAAACCAAGATTTCTTAAAAATGCTTAAAGAAGACTATGGTTACCCAGATACTCTTGACTTTAGTGACAGATATAAAGAAGCTATTAGAAAGTTCAAGGAAGGAAATACTGACCCGAACCTATTTAGCTTTATGGCTCAGCACCAAATGGGATATAATTTCAAACCTGGAAAATACAAGCTCGCTAAGGGATATGATTTAATAGCATATCATCCAAATGACATGAACGAATTTACTCCGAGATATTTGGTGTCAGAGCTAAATGACAATTCAACTCTCTTCATGAAACGCGTAAAAAATAGAGACGGAACGAAAGAAGAAAGGTTTATGAGTCCGGATGACTTAGATAGGGAACTTGTTAAAAACGGTCTCGGAATATATGAAATGCCAGCAGATGAGGTACAAGAAACTCCACAGGAAGAAGTTCAGATACAACCAGACATGGAAGAAATAGTTCAGCAACAACAGCTAGAAGAGCCTGAAGGAAACGAACAAGTCCCTCCTTTGGAAACTAACTTCACAGAACTAGATGAAGATTTGGAACAGCCGAAAAATCTTGACCCTCAACAAGAGTATGAGGTGAATATGGAATCTTTCCAAGAGTCTAAGAAAAATTCGGCTGACATGGTAGAAGAATATCGAAAAATGTTTGCCGACATACAAAAGACTCCAACACCAGATGAAAATATTCAGCATAGAATGGAAGTACTGAAAGAAAATGTACGCAAATACAATAACCCTTTTTACTTACGACCATATAACGTTCAATCTTTGGCTGAACTCGGTGAAAATAAAAGGTTAAATTTCAACAAAACATATAGAAATGAAACATTGTTTAAAGTTCATTCAGAACCTAACCAATATGGAAACAAACCTACTTTTGTTTCTGCAGACTATGGAACTACAATGAGATGGGGTCATAAAGCTAACCCGGATAGGTGGTTCAATAAACTTACAACCACAATTCCAAGAAGTTGTAGACGCAATGGAAGTGAATGGTGAACCAGATTTAGCTGGTATTTTCAGCGCGGCTTTAATGCCATTGAAAGATATGAAACATGCAGATATTTTGGACCAGTATGAAATGAACATGGCTGATGGAAATATAACACCTGACGTTCTAGAACATTTATCTCAAAGAACTACACAGAACCATAAAGATGGTATATTTGGTGAAGAGTTTAGAAAGAAAGTTAGGGAGAGAGAAGGAAGAGAAACCTATTGTACATGACCTTGCAAACGAAAGTTTGCAAAATGTCATAAAAACTTACTTTGCAGACAATGAACCGAGAAGGGATGAATATTTAAGAAAACTCAAATGGACAGTACCAAATGAAATGTTAGTATTGAAAAACATGTTCCTTGACAAAATAAAACCAACTACAGAAATAAATGACGCAAGACTGAAACATTGGGTAAAAGCTTTCCCATTCACAAAAGATATTGTTGGTAACATGGAAAGAAAACCAGAATGGCTACAAAAACATATATTTGGAAACGAGCTTATTCCATATGGACAAGCTCTGTTTGAAGAGCTTGAACCGGAAACTCAGGAAAGAGTCATGCAAACAATACGCGAAGACTCAAATACAAACTATGACAAACTCTTTCTAGGATATAGGTTACCTGAGATGGGCGACCAGAGCCCAAAGGCAAAAAGGACATGGGAAATTTACAACATACTAGGTGAACATGAGGCAAAGATGCAACAACTTGAAGCAGAGGGCAAGTTACCAAAAGCGACACCAAAGAAGAAGAGAAGAGTAGAACAAAGTGAAAGTAGTGAAGAAGTAACTTCATCTAGTGAAAGTAGTGGCAATGAAGGAAAAAGAAGAGTTAAAAACTCAGCCAGGAAGAAAGTAAAGCTTGGTCCACGTGGGTTCTATTATGACACATAAATCCAACTATTCTATATTTTTACCCATATGAAATGTACGCCGCTCAGAATATAACGCCAACAGTTTTGGATGCCATGAATGGAAATGTTTCCGAATGGTATAACGAATGCGACAATGCCATTAGAAGGTCAGAAATAGTTCCTGGAACTTACGAATATACAACTGCTGTTTCTTATGGAAATGTAGGTGAGGTTGGTGAAGGTTCTTCAACAACAGTAGATATTGCTTGCGACAGGTTTCATATAATTTCTATTGACAACTCATTCTTATACGTGGAACAAGACATTGAAATAAAACCTTCTGCCAAGTTGTCTGACAAGAAAGGTTGCAATGGAATTTTCTATGTCGGATACCAATATGCTCCAGAAGTTTTCATGGGATATAAGATATATTCTAACTCTGACTTAGTTCAAACAGTAACATGGGCAAACTATGAATGGTTCGCTTTGAGAAACTCAGTACAACCACAAGCTAGAGAACAAACAGACCAGTATGCAACCATTGAGAAAATAAGAAGACTTGACCCTAACGTTCCAGGAGTTTATGTTAACCTTTCTGGTTCAGATGGAAATGCTGTCACTAAAGTAAAACTGAAACTTAGAGTTCCTTTGTCATCTTTCCTCATCTTCAGGTTTTTAAGATACTTGCCAAACTGGGCAGGAAAAATTTCTATCGAACTTACTCCAAGCAAAAATAACTTAGTCATTGCACCAACGCAAGACCCATTCACTCTTACAGACGTAAAGGGAGCAAATCAAACGTCATTCGCCGAATTTTGCAAAGACAAAGTTGACTTAGACTTTGGTTTCTCAAACTTCAACACTGAAGTAAACTATTATTTCAATGCTGCTGGAACTGCTTGGGACCCAGTTAAGTTCACATGCGAAAAATTTGAATGCAAGAGAATAGAAAGCAGACTTGCAGTCTATATGTTGGACCCAGATATTTCAAATGCTTTAGCTGCCAAATATATTGCAGTTCCACTTATGTTCCCTATACACCAAATATCTGTCAAGACTTTGCAGGTGAAGTTGGAAACCAAAGTGCTGACCCAGGTGCAAGAACAGATATTGCCTTAACAACTGCAATGAAACATGCAGATACTATGTTTGTACTGTTCAGACGAACTATAAATGACTATTCTTGTTTCTACAACCCTGGTATTAAATATCATATAAACATAGATGGCAAATATTATCCAAGAGAAGAATATTCTACAGTTGAGGATATGAGGTCATACAACTTGACATTAGATGCTATGAACTTTAACAACAACTTCACAACAACCATAAACC